ACCCTGAAACTCCGGATGATCTCACCCAGCGGCTTCATGTAGATGTTGAACAACATGGGAGACAGAATTGAGCCCTGAGGAACCCCACAAGACAATGGTTGTGGGGTTGAACAGGTGTCACCCAATAGCACCTTCTGGGAACGGCCCTCCAGGAATGACCGGAGCCACTGCAAAACAGTGCCTCCAAGACCCATTTCCGCAAGGTGCCCCAGAAGGATACCGTGGTCGACGGTATCGAAGGCCGCTGAGAGGTCCAGAAGCACCAACAGGGACACACTCCCCCTGTCGAGCTCCCGGCGCAGATCATCCACTAAGGCGACCAAGACTGTCTCAGTTCCATGCCCCGGTCTGAAACCAGACTGTGCCGAGTCCAGATAATCCGTGTCTCCCAAGAATACCTGGAGTTGTGAGGCCACCACACGTTCCAGGACTTTGCCCAAAAAGGGGAGATTGGAAACTGGCCGAAAGTTGTCAAATTTAGTGGGGTCTAGTGATGGTTTCTTCAACAGCGGTTTTATTATAGCTTGTTTTAAGCTCGCTGGAATTTTGCCTTCCCGAAGGGAGGCATTAACCACCACCTCCACCCACTCAGCCAATCCCCCTCTGGCCTCCTTTAGAAGCCAGGATGGGCAGGGGTCTAGGATGGACGTGGTCGGCCTCATTCCTCCAAGTATCTTGTCCACATCCTCGGGCTTCACCAATTGAAATGAATCCATCAAAATAGGACAAGCAGGTGCTCTTGCTACATCCACAGAGACTGCATTTAACATGGTGTCCAGACCAGAACGGATCAAAGCGACTTTGTCTGCAAAGAACTGAGCAAAAGCTTCACAGCGAGAAGTCGAGTTGTCAGGGTTCCCACCTTGAGTGGTGGGATTTAAAAGACCTCTGACAATTCGGAACAGCTTGGCCGGACGGTTCTTTGCAGACGCAATAATAGCCGCAAAGAAAGCCTTCTTTGCGGCTTTTATTGCTGCGGCATATGCCCTCAAAAAGGACACAAACCGTGTTCGATTTGGCTCGCTCGGGTCCGAACGCTACACACTCTCTAGTTCCCTCTTCCTTCGCTTCATCGCTGCCAGCTCCTCGGTGAACCAAGGTGCTGGTTTAGCTCGGCTACTTGAGAGGGGACGTTCCGGAGCGATCGTGTCAATTGCCCTAGTCATCTCCCCATTCCAGAGAGCGACCAGGGCATCGACAGGATCACCTACCGAGGCGGCGGGAAACTCCCCAAGAGCCATCAGGAATCCATCCGGTTCCATAAGCCTCCTGGGGCGGACCAACTTAATGGGTCCTCCACCTCTGTAGAGGTTAGGGGGTGCAGTGAGCCTAAATCTGACCAGGTAGTGGTCAGTCCATGGCAACGGAGAGATGGACAACTCCTCAACACCGCCACCTTCCTCCCATCCCTGGCAGAAAACTAAGTCCAATGTATGTCCTGCACTGTGAGTGGGGCCAGCTACTTGTTGGGACAGCCCCATGGTTGCCATGGCAGACATGAAGTCCTGAGCTGCTCCTGAAAGGGCCGTCTCGGCATGGATATTGAAGTCCCACAGCACAAGGAGCTGCTGAGACTCCAACGCCAGGCTCGAGACCACCCCGCTAGCTCAGGTAGGGAGACTGTAGTGCAGCGAGGTGGACGGTACACTAACAGAATCCCTATTCTGTCCCGGTCACCCACTCTCAGGTGGACGCATTCAAAATTTGTAGACTGCGGGATGGGGCCCCTGGTCAGAGGGATGGAATCTCTATAGACCACTGCAACCCCGCCTCCCCGCCCTCCGGATTTTGGTTGGTGCTGCACGGAGAAACCTGGTGGGCAAAGCTGGGTAAGATTCATACCTCCAGCCTCGTCCAACCAGGTCTCCGTGATGCACGCCAGATCTGCCCGCTCATCCAGAATTAGGTCTTGGATGAAGGTAGTTTTTCCGTTGACAGATCTGGCGTTCAACAGCACCACCTTCAATCCAGAGGGACCGCCAACCTGGTTACACCAATTTACCATATAAGGAGACCGGTTTGGAATTACTAATGTTGCTACACGATCCCTAGGCCGAATTGTTGGTCTCCTTGTTCCGCATCTCCCCTTCCCCACCACCACTTCTATGGGGGCCCCTTGGCTAGTGGAACACCCTCCCCCCTCCATGCCACATTCCAAAGCATGTAATGTGAATAGATCAATAGGTAAAAGGGTGCATGTGGCACCCTTTTACCTCCAGCCAGAACCGGGAGATTCCAGCAACTGAAAATCTTGTATTTTTAGCTCTTTGTAGTGATTCCTTCCTTGTTTTCAGGGGATGTTATTTGGTCACACACTACTTTGAACTGGGAGCTGCTGAGATAAAGGTACGGTGTGGATGGGTCCTCAGATAACTCAGTACAGACCAGATATTGTGGGATCTTCTGCCTTGACATTCTAGGTTATATGGCCGTGAAGAAGGGCCTCCACTTGAAATTTTCTCTTTTGACTTCTATGGAAATCCAGAAAGAGGAACAAGAGTCTCGAGAGCTAGTCAAACCTCAATTTTTATTAAAAGTTAAAATGACTAAACTGAGGTTTTTGTACATCTCATATAACAAACATGACACACTGGAAAAGACATTAATGGGAGAAACAGGTGAAGAAGACCACATTAGAGAAGATTGATTCAAACTAGGGCTGTGAATAACAAGGTCCCTCATATCATGCGTTCTGTTTTGATGTAATTTGTTTATATGTCTTCTCTTTGGCATTGAAAGTTTGCGATATATGTTGGAAACCTTCCTGAGTCCTTTTGGGGAGATAAATTATTATTATTGACACACAACAAGGTTAGTACACAGCAAACAAGATCACTATGCTGGCTGCTGTATTGGATCACATATCGGACACTTCCCAAGTGTCTAGGACTATGTGATGTATCGGCGAATAATGCGTACAGATCCCAGTAGCGTGGCCTTTTGCAGCTGACAGATGGTAATTTTGTCAGCGCCGATTGTGTTTAAGTGCAGGCCAAGGCCTTTAGGCACTGCCCCCAGTGTGCCGATCACCACTGGGACCACCTTGACGGGCTTGTGCCAGAGTCTTTGCAGTTCAATCTTTAAATAATAATAATAATAATAATAATAATTATAATTATTATTATTATTATTATTATTATTATTCATAGTGTCGCATTTAGTCAAAAATGGGCTTGAGAGCACAGGACAACAATTCCACAACCCACTTTCTTGTTCAATGATATAGAATTCTAGAGTTTATAGTTTGGTGCGAAACTAGCACTCTTTGGCAGGGAAGGCTTAAAGCCTATAACACTACGTCTCCCATAACTCCACAGCATTGAGAAGGCAGATAAAGCAACATATCCATACACTTGACAAGTTAGTGTGTTGGCTGCAGTGTGTAGACATGTCACCCAAACATAAGAGAAAAAAAACCTCTTGAATCTATGTGAAAAAAGAAATAAATTATATTTTAAAAAAATATAAATGGAAAGGTTTTCATGAGATATGTTGTGTCCCCATACATTTCATTGCTACAACTTACATATTTCTTATAAGGGTTGGTTTAACCTCCAGTTTGCTAGTAAACCTGAATTACAGTATTGTAAAATGTTATGTATCACCAACATGAAATGCTTAGAAAGTTCTGCTCTAGGGTAGTGGCTGCCAGCCTTTGGTCCTCAAGGTTTTTGGTGATTTCAACTCCCAGAAATCCCAGCCATTCAGGAATTCTGGGAGCTGAAGTCCAAAAGACCTGGAAGACCAAATATTGGGGAGACACTCCTAGAGCAGGCATGGGCAAACTTGGGCCCTCCCTCCAGGTGTTTTAGACTTCCACCATTCCTAACAGCCTCAGGCCCTTTCCTCCCCCCCCCCCCAGCTGCTTAAGTGAAAGGGAAAAGGAAGGAGCCTGAGCCTATCAGGAATGATGGGAATTGAAGTCCAAATCACCTGGAGTGAGGGCCCAAATTTGCCCATGGAAATTTGACCAGACATAGACAAGAGCAGTGGTTCTCAACCTGTGGGTCCCCAAGTATTTTGGCCTACAGCTCCCAGAAATCCCAGCCAGTTTACCAGCTGTTAGGATTTCTGGGAGTTGAAGGCCAAAACATCTGGGGACCCACAGGTTGAGAACCACTGGACTAGAGTCTATGAGGAACTGCAATTCCTGAAGGCTATGGAAGCAGGGAAGTGGTAGTTTTACAAGGTCTTTAGCTGTCTCTGCCAAAGGGCAAGGACGCTAGTGCCTCACCAAACTGCAACTCCCATGATCCCATAGCGTTGAGCCAGGTCATTGATTCTACAGTATAGATCAGGCATGGGCAAACTTGGGCCCTCCAGGTGTTTTGGACTTCAATTCCCACCATTCCCTTACAGCAGTGGTTGCCAACTTTTGAGCCTCCAAGTGCTTGGGACTTCAACTTCCAGAAATCCCAGCCAGCTTACCAGCTGTTAGGAACAGTGGGAGCTGAAGTCTAAAACACCGGGGAGGCCCAAAGTTTGGGAACCACTGCTCTACAGCCTTGGGCCCTTTCCTTAAGTGGCTGAGGGGGGAAAGGGGGGCCTAAAGCTGTTAGGAATGGTGGGAGTTGAAGTCCAAAACACCTGGAGGGAGGGCCCAAGTTGGCCCAGGCCTGGCTTAGATGCAGACCTTTATACCCAATCGAACCAATTAGGAAATGACACTTATAACCCAGGAACAGAAATCGTGTTACTTGTTGTTGTTGTTGTCGTCACTATTCGTCTTATTGTTTGAATTCCGCCTTATCTTTCCTAGGGCCCCTCCACACAGCCCATATCCCAGAATATCAAGGAAGGAAATCCCCCATTATCTGAGTGTAGACTCAGATAACCCAGTTCAAAGCAGGTAATGTGGGATCTTCTGCCTTGATATCCAGGGAGAAAGGGCTGTGGTGGAAGGGCCCTAAGTAAGAGACCCAAAGGGGCTCCAATGTAGGTAGCCCTTCCCTCGCCACACCCCCAACCCCCCTCCTACAGCCTGCCCTCCCCATCCTTACCAGACCAGAAGAGAAGAAGGTGGAGAAGGAAGAAGGCCTGCCAGGATCGTGGGGCCATCGCCCCTTCACGGAGCCCCACCGAAGCAGACCTTCTGGCGAGCTCTCCTTGGGACCCTTTGGCCAGCGCCTTGTGGGTTTCGCTTTGCTTCTGCTGCGCTGGGATTTCCTCCAGCCACTMCTTCCTCCTCCTCCTCCTCCTCCCTCTCCCGGGCCACAGCCAGGTGAACCTTGTTCCCAGAGAGGCCGTCGCCTTGGCACCCGGCCCGGGAACTCCTGCTTTCCAAGCCGAGCCAAGGCAAGAAGCAGCAAACCCGCTTCCCCGCCTTGCCTAGGTGCAGCCCGGGCCGGCGCTGCCTCCGCCTCCAGGGAACCCAGGGACGCCATGAAGGGGGGGGGGGGTTGTGACGTCACCAAGGGGATTCCAAACCCAGTGGGTGACACCCTCCGGCTCAGCGGGGCAGTGACATGACTGCAGGTCAGGCATGGGCAAACTTCGGTTCTCCCTCGCCTCTGCAGGAGTCTGCCCTATACCATGCTGCTGTGGACAAGTCTACATAGGAAAAGGTAACGCTTTTCCCTTGACATTAAGTCTAATCGTGTCCCACTCTGGGGGTTGGTGTTCATCTCCATTTCTAAGCTGAAGAGCCGGCGTTGTCCGTAGACACCTCCAAGGTCATGTGGCTGTCATGACTGCATGGAGCGCTGTTACCTGCTCGCTGGAGCGGTACCTACTGGTCTACTGAAGGGTCAGAAGGCATGATCACTGAGTTTGCAGATGACACCAAATTGGGAGGGATAGCCAATACTCCAGAAGACAGGAGCAGAATTCGAAACCATCTTAACAGATTAGAGAGATGGGCCAAAGCTAACAAAATGAACTTCAACGGGGGAAAATGCAAGATACTCCACTTTGGCAGAAAAATTGAAGTGCAAAGATACAGAATGGGGGACGCGTGGCTCGAGAGCAGTACGTGTGAAAAAGATCTTGGGGTCCTCGTGGACAAGAAGTTAAACATGAGCCAACAATGTGATGCGGTGGCAAAAAAAAAAAAGCCAATAGGATTTTGGCCTGCATCAATAGGTGTATAGTGTCTAGATCCAGGGAAGTCATGCTACACCTCTATTGTGCCTTGGTTAGACCACACCTGGAATATTGTGTCCAATTCTGGGCACCACAATTTATGGGAAATGTTGACAAGCTGGAATGTGTCCAGAGGAGGGTGACTAAAATAATCGAGGGTCTGGAGAACAAGCCCTATGAGGAATGGCTTAAAGAGCTGGGCTTGTTTAACCTGAAGAAGAGAAGGCTGAAAGGAGACATAATAGCCCTGTATAAATATGTGAGAGGAAGTCATAGGGAGGAGGGAGCAAACATGTTTTCTGTTGCCCTGGAGCCTAGGATGCAATGGAACAATGGCTTCAAACTACAAGAAAGGAGATTCCACCTGAACGTGAGGAAGAACTTCCTGACTGTGAGAGCCATTCAGCAGTGGAACTCTCTGCCCTGGAGTGTGGTGGGGGCTCCTTCTTTGGAGGCTTTTAAGCAGAGATTGGATGGCCATCTGTCAGGGGTGCTTTGAATGTGATTTTCCTGCTTCTTGGCAGAGGGTTAAACTGGATGGCCCATGAGGTCTTTTCCAACTCTATGATTCTATTATTCAACTCACATTTGCATGTTTTCGAATTCCTAGGTTGGCAGAAGCTGGGTCTAACAATGGGAGCTCCCTGCGCTCCCCGGATTCGAACCCATGACCTTTTGGTTAGCAAGTTCAGCAGCTCAGCGGTTTAACCCACTGTGCCACCACAGCCCTACATGTGATGCAACAGCTAAAAAAGCAAATGTGATTTAAGCAGAGGCTGGGTGGCCATCCATTGGGAGTGCTTGATTGTATTTTCTTGCATGGCAGGAGATTGGCCTTTGTGGTGTTTCCCAAAATTGTCTTTCTAGGATTCCATGATTTTAAGACACTTGCTTTGAGAAGGGGAAAAAACCTGTTCATTCTCGAAATATAAATGTACAGGGAAGTAATCTGTAGTTACACAAACTAGGGCATGTTCAGGCTCTTCTGCAGTGGTTCTTCTGGTAACATAAAAGGCAGTGGGGGGATGGTACTTTGCAAAACTAACAAGTAACAAAAATGATTAACAACCTCTGCCTCACAACCTCTAAGGATGCTTGCCATAGATGTGGGTGAAACATCAGGAGAGAATGCTTCTGGAACATGGCCATACAATCCAGAAAACACAGCAACCCAGTAATTCTGGCCATGAAAGTATTCGACAACACAAAAATGACTAAACTGATTATCTTACTTTGGGCATAATAGAGAGAAACATGACTTATCGAGGAAGATAATAATGCTGGGCATTCTTGAATGCAGCAAGAAAAAAAAAGGAAACTATCTTCCAGATGGAAGCTACTACCCTGCATCACTTAAAAAAACACCTTTGGAGACTTTTGTTTGGAAATCCTAGGAACTGTAATCCAAAAAAGTAACTTTTCCAAGCTCTGTGAACAATTCATCCTGATAGTGAAATGGAGCATTTCTACTCAGAGGCAACATTCCCTCAAGGGAGGGGACTCAGAGCAGCTTACAAATTGGCAACAATTAAATGAATCCATAGCATTGAGCCACGACAATTAAAATGGTGTCCAACTGCATTCATTCTGCAGTGTAGAAGCATAAGGTCCTTCTGACACTGCACATAAGAAATATGCTAATATTAGTGAATAGAATCTTGTTTCAGGAGAAGTGACGTCTGTCTTTACATACAGAAAAATGGTTCAGATTTTGACTTGGCAGGGTTTCTTAATCTTACAGGCTGCTGCTTCATTCAGGTGGTGTGATAGAAGAAGCTCTGCCCCTTTCTTCTGTGACAAATGCTTAAAAACAAAACAGGAAAAGAAACCAGCTGCTATGTTGCAACAGATGCGTTAAGCCAACTTGAAAAGTCCCCTTGCTGTAGGTCAGAAACCTCAAAAATGCAAATAACATGAAGTTTACATGAAAAAATCCCTTGTTGGAAAATTTCAACTTTGGCAGTCATTCGGGCTTTCTCAATGCTTCAGGTTGGGTCTTATTTTAGCAAAGATCTCATAGGGTGCTGGCATTTCCAACATGTGGGTTTTATGTAACCTCCCAAGACATCCCTATTATTTTTTCCAATTTTTGTGTGTCTTGGAACAGTTTCTCCCCATGTTGTTCATTCGTTCAGTCATCTCCGACTCTTCGTGACCTCATGGACCAGCCCACGCCATAGCTCCCTGTTGGCCGTCACCACCCCCAGCTCCTTCAAGGTCAGTCCAGTCACTTCAAGGATGCCATCCATCCATCTTGCCCTTGGTCGGCCCCTCTTCCTTTTGCCTTCCACTTTCCCCAGCATAATTGTCTTCTCTAGGCTTTGCTGTCTCCTCATGATGTGGCCAAAGTACTTCAACTTTGTCTCTAGTATCCTTCCCTCCAGTGAGCAGTCGGGCTTTATTTCCTGGAGGATGGACTGGTTGGAGCTTCTCGCAGTCCAAGGCACTCTCAGAACTTTCCTCCAACACCACAATTCAAAAGCATCGATCTTCCTTCGCTCAGCTTTCCCTAAGGTCCAGCTCTCACATCCGTAGGTTACTACAGGGAATACCATGGCTTTGACTATGCGTATCCCCATAGAGATGTTCAATGTATTGTCGAAGGCTTTCATGGCTGTAGGTTTTTTCGGGCTATATGGCCATGTTCTAGAGGCATTCTCTCCTGATGTTTCACCTGCATCTATGGCAAGCATACTCCCAGAATTATCTGTTTACATGAGATACCTGTTCATCTATTCCTATCCAAGCAGGCTTTTCATGTCAAATGTTTTTTTTTTGTTTACTTTGGCAAAGATTTGAAAAGAAAATTGCATTGGATAGACCACACCAGCTCTACTGGATGGCATACAGAACATATGCCATCCAGTAGTCACCATCCGCTTGTCCACAAAAAAAACCATATTTCATAAGCCTTGGCACTATAAGAGGGGTTCACGAGAGCAGTCATTCTCATTGCAACAATGAGGCCGTGGACCATATTTTAATTCTTGTGGCCCACTGGTGGTGCACGGACTACAGGTTGGGAAATACTGCATTATCTTGTGTAAGCAAGCACACACTACGTATCATTTACAAAAGCAAAGCTGGCAGTTCACCAGCATATATGTGCAGCACTAGTCTCAATGATGTCAAAATTTGTAGGTTTCTAAATCCCAAGGGAAGTCTGGCAAGCTGCAAACCACAGATGGCAAATCAATAACTGAGAATCTCACCAGGTTTAAGGCAAACATCAGAGGCTTTATTCAAATTGTGCAAAAGAGAAACTCATACAGCACGGATGCTTGAAGGGTGCAAATGTAAAAATGTATTCACAAGCAGACATCTTTATGCACATACGTTTCCATTCACTGACATTGCCCCATTTCAAAATCTCCTTCCTTCCTCCCTGATTGGCCAGCTCAGCAAAACCGGACTGTATTTTCCCTGGCTTCTGATTAGTTGGGAGGTGGGTCAATGCTGGCACTTGCCCTGATATGCGGAGGCGGCAGTGACATAGCTGGGGATCTCCTCTCAGCTGGGCAGGGAAGCCTGGAAGCCTCTAATCAGCTGGTGGAGGTGGATGGAGGGAGGGAGCTCTGGGGGCCATGCCAGCCCCTGGGTGTGTTGTCCAAGAATGTGATGAACAAAGGAAAAGTCCGAAGCCGATCTATCAGGTCTGTGCAAATACTTGGTCCTGCCAAGTACAATGGCACAATGGGAGGTTGTTGTCACAGATAGGTTCTCATGTCCAAAGACAAAGAGAGAGTCCGGAGATGTAGATTTGCCGATGGGATTGCAATCAGTTTCAGCCTGGACCTTTGTCCCATAACTGTCCAAGAAGTCCAAAAAGAAGTCCCAGGGCTATGAATGGATGGCTTCCAGCTGGGATCCAGGAAGGCCCTTTGTCCAAGGATTATGACCCACCTGTGGCTGGCATTTGGGGTGTGGATATGATGTCTGGAAATTGCTCAAGGGGGAGGTTACTGGAGTTCATAGTTTCTAGGTTCATGTACATTTGCCTTTATTTTATAGAGTTTAATAATAATAATAATAATAATAATAATAATAATAATAAAAAATAATGAAATAGATAAAAATAAACTTTGTGGGAGTTGTGTGGTGCTTGGTGGGAACCAGGTGAAAAAGGAAAGGAGTGAAGAGTGGAGGGTTTTGACATGGCTGAGCAACAGATAAGGGGGTCATTGGTGATATTTTGTTATATTTTGCACATGTTCACAAAAGAGGAAAAGAATAAAAATAAAAAAGTAGATACGTAGTATCAAGGGGAGGAGGAATACACAGTATCAGGGGCTCAGGAAATGAAGGTGCTTGGGTTACTTTGTGGCTACCTGGCCAGTTTCCTGGCTGGGTGGGGGAGAGGATCAGATAGCTGATCTCCTCCAAGGCTGGAGTGGACCAGCCCGAACCAAGCAGCTGGGTTGGGGAGCATGTTGAGGGGCCATATTGGGTAGGTTGCTGCTGGTTTTGGGGTGGCTCCGAAGAAACTGTGGGGACGGAGGACGTTTCCACTCATCTAGTCCTCCGTCCTAGGGAAAACTATACATCATAGGATTCAATTTATGTATTATTTTTATTAGGGGTGGGGTTGTGGAGTCTTCGATATCACTAATTTCAATTCTGATAGCAAATTAAAAACACACAAACAAATGCGAGAGAGAGAGAGAGAGAGAGAGAGATGTTTTGGAATTTAGGCACTTTTATTTCAAAGTGGCTGACAAAATTTTCTCTTAACAATATTTAACATTAAGAGTCTCTGATTGCTCTTTCACAGGTTCTTAAAACTGCAACATGAGAGACCTAATAGTAGAGTTTGAAATTATTATTATTTTGTTCTATGATGTCCAGAATCCTTATTTTTTCCATCTGTTTCCTGGGACTAGTGGCATGTAGGTTCAGAGATTCTGGGAGATATAGTCCAACAAGTAAACTTTTGAAGTCCCTGCCTAAATCAGTGTTTTAGCCCCAAGGAACAGAGTTTTGTTCTTCATTTGCATGGGTGGGTGGATTGGGTTTCCCATGCTCCTTTTCCTGAGGTTGCGTCTTCCTTTCCCAGGAATAAAAGTGTCCTGTGTAGCAGCATTTGATGAAAAATAAATGGAGGGATAAGTACAAATCCCCTCTCCCCTGTGTGAAAGCAGGAGTGGTTTCACTCAGTGAAATCTTTCAATCCAGGCCAATTAATATAAGATGCCATATCTTTGTACTGTCACAGTGCAAGCATAAAGTGTCAACAGTACAGTTAAAGAGGAAGTTTTACTAGATAAATTTAATGAACATCCTTTTAGAAACCCCTCCAGACACTGACATGAAACTGAAGCCTCTTCACAGAATTCATCCTTTCCAGTAAGTTCACGCTTGTGTTCCCTGTTAAGGATTGTGTGCCACAAGGGAAGGAGAAAAAAAAAACCCAAAACAGAATGGAGCAAAGCTATTTGTAAAATAATTTCTTTATTATATTTGTACTCCATTAGTTACGTTCTCTGGCAATATACATAAAAAGTGGTTAAATCAAAACACCAACGATTAAAACATGACAGTATAAAACGGATAATACAAGTTTAAGTCACACAATTAAGCCAAGTGAGGTTTTCACACTTTAAAAAAATTGAAATGTCAAAATTGACCAAAGAGTTCCTGAAAAGTCCCAAAATGGCTGGGAAAATCCAAAGCAGGCACCGGGCAAGTCTCTGTAGGAAAGGCAATGCTCTATTTGGGAAGGAAACATTGAAGACAGTGTTCTTTTTTATAGCCACTGACTTGTACATCTGTAGTACTCAGAGAAGTTCTTCTGGCAGTGACATTACGGGGGGATTAGAAATATAAGGGAATGTTTTACTCTGCCTCAAGCCTTAATGAAAGGCAAGTAAGAAACAATAATATATTATTATTTTATTTATTTATTAATTAAAACACTTTGGAGCCAGTTTAAGACTAGCAGCTTAAATCTGACTCAAGAAAGTTGATTAAGTTCTAGTATTATTCATCAAAGCATCTGTGAATGGAAAAACTACCTTGCAGTATTATTTGGGGCAAAATGAAATTTGCAGAGTCAACACAATAATGGATAAGTCCCTCTAGCCAAGAAAGGACAGGGCTGATGAATCAGCCAAAGCTGAATAAAGGCATTTTGATCTACTTGGGCCTCCAATGACAATTCTGTTACAGTAAGTTGTAGCAGGACCAAGTGTGTGTGTGTTGAGGAAAAACCCTATGATGGTAATTATTATGTGCAGCTGGTAATGTAGGTCAACCAGAAATCTTGGATCACACCTGATAGGGTGTAACTGTATGGGTTTTAAGAATACAGTTCTGGAGAGCTTTTTATCTGTGGAGATCTATGCTCAAAGGCTCTGCTCTGAGGAGCAGGTTGGAGAGAGACTGTTATGCTGCTCTAAGAGAGGCTATGGTGGAATAGCTGTTTACTCAAGATTTATGTTTTCTCTGTCATTTGACTTAAGATGAAGATGCCTTATTTTGTGTTACTTACAAAGACTGTGTAAGTTTCTTGACCTGTTTGCTTTTTGTATGCAACATTGCAAGTTTGTATTTCATCTCTGCTATTAAGAGTAAATATTTTTTTGTTCATTTCTACTCTTGTCTTTGTGTCTTGTGTATGGGACGTGGCTAAGATCCATTGCTGTGCAACAAATTCCCCAAAGTGCAAGCCCTCCCTCCTTTTTTAGTGTCAGGAGCGACCTGAGAAACTGCAAGTCACTTCTGGTGTGAGAGCATTGGCTGTCTGCAAGGATGTTTCCCAGGGGATGCCCGGATGTTTATGATGTTTTACCATTCTTGTAGGAGGCTTCCCTCAATGTCTCCACATGGGGAGCTGGAGCTGACAGAGGGAGTTAAACCCGCTCTTGCTGGATTCGAACTGCTGATCTGTTGATCAGGGGTCCTGCCGGCACAAGGGTTTAACCCACTGTGCCACCAGGAGCCCTCCCCTGAAGAAAGTGAATACCACCCCACAAGCTAGACAAAAAAACCCCATGGACAAAACTAGATAGATCTAGTCATTAGATTTGAATGTCTGTGCGTGTTGACATCCTGTCAGTCCTGCAGTCAACAGTATGTTTCAAATGGCATTTTAATAATCTCTTTGATGAAAGACGATATAAAAAAGATACAACAAAATCAGAGACACTATTAATGCATTTTAAATTATAAAAAATACTTTACAGCTTGTATAAAAGGCAAAGAAAGTACAAACAAGGCTGAGGTAATTGTAACAGGTTCCATTATATAAATACAGGGGGGAAAATCCAGACATCGTTTGCCCTTACTTAAGCCATTTGGAAATTGTGAACAAATATGTGGAAGAACTCTTACTGTGCCTGGGAAGGACTTAAAGCCAGTTCTGTGTATTGGTTTCAGCATTGGACTAGGACTCTGGAGAACAGGCTTCGAATCTCTGTTCAGCCATGGAAGCCTACTTCGTGACGATGTGTAGGTTATAATATAAGCAAGGATAAGCCTCAACGGAAAAAAAAAAATGCCAAGAAAATGGTGGAAAGGACCGGAAGGCAGGCACACAACAGTTCCCAGTAGCAGGCTGAAAACCCTGCTGAGCAGCAGATCCACTCCCGAGGAAGTGGGCAATTGTTTTAAAATATTTGCTCAGAAATTACATCTGAGGTTGCAAGGAAGCAAGTTCCTCTTTGATGTAAAAGTCCCTTTCTCACAGTAAAGGATAAGTAAACAGCTGTGTAGTAGTATTTTAAGGTAGTATTATAGTGAGTAGTATTTAAGGTAGTATTTTAATGAGGCATGCACGAAAAAGCTCTCCCATTGCTTTTTGCAAATCAATGTGAGTGTAATAGCAAATACAGTGGGCACTTGGTATCTGTAGAGATTTGGTTCTAGCATCACCCATGTATACCAAAATGTATGTGCACTCAAGTCCCACTATATATAATGATGTAGTAAAATGACATCCATTATATAAAATGGAGAACAAGTAAAAAGTGCCAGAGAGAGCATGCAGAATGATGGAAGACTATAGGTGTGCCTACACTTCAACATGCTGCTTTGTGAACAACAAAATTAAGGTTTGCTTTCTGGATTAAAAATATTTTTGAGTTGTGGTTGATGAAATCCATGGATGAAGAACCTGTGGATATGAAGGGCAAACTGTGCTACATTTTTGTTAAGCTAGGAGATATAGTCCAGAGCCACAGGTTGGAAGTGCCAGCGAAATTCTACATTCTGCCCCAGAATATATCAAATCCTCATAAAGAGATCACAGCTGCCATGAGTTGGAAAGTGGGAAATGCTAAGGGTGAGGTACAGCTAAAGAAATACAGTACAGTATTCTGGGCCTTGGCCAAACATATTGAGCAATCAATAAATTTCTGCCAATATTAAATAATCAAATCATTCTAAATTAAAGAAGTGCAGTCAGATAAAGTTCTTTGGGGAAGACCTACAATTATCAGAATAGTCAAGACAGCATGGTCAATAGATTTGCTGATACAGGATTCTGGGAGTTGTAGCCAAAGACATACCTTTTCCAAGTTCTAAAAAAACCCACCATTAAGAGCTAATTCTGCATTAAATGCATGTATTCGAATTGCCTTGTGCTTTTTTTTTAAAAGGAAAAATTTATGAATCTGCCTGTAGACGTATGAGCAGTTTAGTACAAGTAAGAAAGGTGGAAAGGTTAGACTAGGTATGGGCAAATTTTGGCTCTTCAGGTGTTTTGGACTTCAACTCCTACAATTCCTAGCAGTGGGAGCTGAAGTCCAAAACACCTGGAGGACCGAAGTTTGCCCATGCCTGGGTTAGACACATTTCTTCCCTAAATATTATGTTTTAAAAGTGACATTTTATTATTCTTTTTTTAAAAAAACACCTCTGTATGTAGGCTTAACTTTGTTAACTTCACATTTGGGTGTTATGAACTATCATACACTAACATATAGCTGTTCTCTGATCACTGTGGCTAACTCCACAATTTCATAGAACGAGCACATGATGCTCTGAGTCCTAATATGGCACAGCAGGTATTCATTCTAGCAAATTGTGGAGCTCTATGTCTTTACTTACTTTCTGAGGGAAATAAGATGCCTTTCAACAATATGAAGAATTAAATTTGTTCGTGTTCTTGATTACAAGAACATTGGAATAGGTCTAAGAAGTAGTAAATGGCAATACCTATTCCAATCCACTGTTATAAATCAGATTATCTAAAATGGGAAATTTATCAGAGATTATTCCAAGATGAAAAGAAGAAAGCAAGAGTTGATTTTTGTTTCTTCTCCTATGACAGTTCAAATGACTAAAAGGAGGGAGTGAGGAACTGGTGGCTCTCCAGATGCTGCTGAACTCCAATACCCATCAACTGGAATCGACTCAGCCTGGCATGAGATCTGATGGAGGTTGTGGTACATCATCAGCTGGCAGAATGTTTTGTGGTATAAAAAGTTAGTCAGGCTGCTAATAACATGAGACAAGGAAGCAGGAAATTTCTTTATCTTGACTTTGTGAAAAACATAAATATGAAATAGCAGCAGTAGCTAAGGAGTACTGAATTGCACTAGTAGCCCTATTTATATTGTAACAGCAATGGCATTGGACTTTCCAGTCTCCCAAATAAACTGAAGTATAAACAAACATAGCATCCCTCAGATTCCAAAGGTCACTGTCGATGACTGGCAAAACCACAATGAAAGCACTCTGAAGCAATTCAGACCGTGGCTATGTGCAACTTTGGAGCAGTCCCTGACTTTGCTAAATGCGTGGTTAAACTGGCTCAGTTTGGTTTACCCCACACAAAGGACTAGAAGTCCCTTGATGTCACCTGGACATTCGGGTTTGACATCTGGGTAAAGGGCTGGTGGAGACAAGCCCCAAGAGGAGCAGTCTGAAAGGAGGTTATCTTTTAAAACTACCCTTTAGAAAATGGGAGATGTATGGAAATGTTGGGACTTGATTTTTCACTTAATTCTATTCAATCTATACACAAAACTAGCATTATTTTTGTACTTGATATTGATTAGCCTGTGCCTCACAGAAACCCTGAATTCAGCTACATGTGGCAATTCAGGATGGTGCTGCATTTATGTGCACAATGAATAATACTGAATGTATTACAGAAAATATACTCTTCAGCTCTCCAACAAGCTGGAATAAACTAGCCAAGTGGTAATATTCTCTTCATTGCTGTCCTCTTTGGATATAGTCACCAACATAGTCTGTTTCTGAACCAGATGACTCACTTTCTTCAGACCCACCAGGATTTTGCCATGTAGAGAAGAGGCTGTGGACATTGGGAGTCTGTACATTTGGAATGTCAGTGAAATGGGTTGATTCAGAGTCACTGGTAATGCATGGCTCTTTCACATCCGCTGAATCCTCATGATCAGGGTCTCGTGATGCAGGAACATCCTGAGTGTCGATAGTTATTCCTAGCTTTACACTATTTAAGTTCACATTTAAGCAGCTGCTAAGCTCCAGCTCTGGTTCATTTGTAACATCCCCTTTAGAAGAATCATAAAGAAGTTGTTCTGTTGTTGTACTTCTGTCTTGGTTAATCTCATTCTGAAGGATCACTGCTTCAGCAATTCCAGACTGGCTTGTATCAATTTGAGAAGACGAACTATCTATCGACAGCTGCTCAACGATGTCTACAGTAGAACTGTTTTTTAAATGCTTGCGAACCGTATATAAATGATTGTTTTCAACATCACTTCCACTGTCATCATTATAATCATCATCACCATCATCATCCTCACAGTGCCATACCTTTTTCTTAGTTTTTTCAGTGACCTTGACACTATGCACTTCTTCAGGGACTGAATCGAAGACTGAATAACCACATTTAGGGATGATATTCTAGAAGGAAAAAAAAAACCAAAGTAATTTTGACATTTACAAATGTGAAAACAGACGATACACTCTTCCAAAACCGAATTGGTGTGTTATAAAAATGATACTGAATAGCTCATATCTGATATCAATAGTTCGCTTGATTCTAAACCTGGAACCCATAAAAACAAACAATCATCTCAACTTTCATGAATTGGAATTCTGGCATCTTCAAAATCATAGACTTTTTTTTTAGAAATCCTTTTTTTGAGAACATCCTAAGAATTTAGAATGCTTTCTTCCTCATTCAGTCCAATTTCCATTTCAATATCTTGAGGCTGGATATGTGAAACATAGGTCTGAGCATGAATATAGTCTGCACCTCAGTTAATGATATAGATATGTTAACAAAATATCTGGACAGAAAGAACATAGAAAGAATAAGGATGAGTTCCTAACCCACAAAAAAGAAGAAGAAAAGAAAGAGGCTTCAACATGTTTCAGAAACATTTTTATTCAAAACTATTAGTCATGACCTTATTTCCCGGTTTTGTGTGAAGATGGGAAATTAGGCCATGCCTTAGCGCTGTCCTGTGTATATTTGAAATCTGGGAGGGGGTTGCCATAGAAACAGGAGCAATGCAGGGGAGGGGCCAGCATGAGGCATGAGTGAAATGAACTGTCAGTTGGAATTTTGTTGTGTTCCCTAATGCATGCTTTTGAATTAAAGCCTTCCAACTTTGTTTGTGAGGTAATTTCTTCACCAGAAAGCTATAGACATGCACAGGTGGAATCCAGGGAAATTATGCTACCCCACTCTTCTGCCTTGGTCAGACCACACCTGGAATACTGTGTCCAATTCTGGGCACCACAATTGAAGAGAGATGCTGACAAGCTGGAATGTATCCATAGGAGGGTAACTAAAATGATCAAGGATCTGGAGAACAAGCCCTATGGGAAGTGGCTTAAAGAGCTGGGCATAGAATCATAGAGTTGGAAGAGACCTCATGAGCCATCCAGTCCAACTCCCTGCCAAGAAGCAGGAATATTGCATTCAAAGCACCCCTGACAGATGGCCATCCAGCCTCTGTTTAAAAGCTTCCAAAGAAGGAGCCTCCACCACACTCTGGGGCAGAGAGTTCCACTGCTGAACGGCTCTCACAGTCAGGAAGTTCTTCCTAATGTTCTGATGGAATCTCCTTTCTTGTAGTTTGAAACCATTGTTCCGTGTCCTAGTCTCCAGGGAAGCAGAAAACAAGCTTGCTCCCTCCTCCCTGTGACTTCCTCTCACATATTTATACATGTTTATCCTGAAGAAGAGAAGACTGAGAGGAGACATGATAAGGGGAAGTCATAGGGAGGAGGGAGCAAACATGTTTTCTGCTGCCCTGGAGCCTAGGATGCAATGGAACAATGGCTTCAAACGACAGGAAAAGTGATTCCACCTGAATGTGAGGAAGAACTTCCTGACCGTGAGAGCTGTTCAGTAGTGGAACTCTCTGCCCCAGAGTGTGGTGGAGGCTCCTTCTTTGGAGACTTTGAAACAGAGGCTGAATGGCCATCTGTCGGGGTGCTTTGAATTACATTTTCCTGCTTCTTGGAACAGGGTTGGACTGGATGGCCCACGGGGTCTCTTCCAACTATATGATTCTATGAATCTATGAAATGAAACATTCTGGCCAAGTAAATGAGAGAGGGAGGGCTTGAGAGGTTTTAAAAGGCTTTGCAAAAAAGAGTTTCACTACCAGGAAGTTGTATTATGATGTTTTAAAACTATACAGCCTCTTAACTGTAATAGAACAGGAGCCCAGAAAGTTTCTGTAAAACTATTCATATTTCCCATCTGATTGGTAGCACGTCTCCAGGCTAAGGCTGAGTTATAGAAAATTCCTCCACTTTTGCATTTCTCTTCTTTTTAAACTGGAAATGCTAGGGATTGAACCTGTGACCTTTCAACACAAAGGAGATGCTCTATTACTGAATTATAGCCCCACACCAAAATTCATGCTTGTACTAAAATGCACGCCTGCACGTTTACTCATCTTATATGAGAAAGTTGCTTAAAACAAAAGGAGAGATAAACACATCACTAACTGAACTGTGACACTGATTTAGTTAACAAGGGAAAAGACACAAAACGAAGTGAATATAAATCAAATGCCAAACAATGACATTGTTTGTTTAAAAACAAATGCTTTCTACAAAAGAAGCAAAAGTGGGTTTCTGGATGGGGCTTCTTTGCTTTGTTTCTCCTGCTTTCTCACAGCCCAGAAACCTTAATTTTGTGGCTACAATTCCAGAATCCACTGATTGTGGTAATATGAAAATAACTAAATTGACTCCATGTATATATTACAAATACACACATCAAAAAAACTGCCACATTCACATTAAGTAGAAACAACTGGTTCTTCTCTTGAAGTATAAAACAAAGTCTTCATTTGAGAAAATGTCCTGTTCTTTATTACATATGAGTAGACTCCAGTAGTCACATGAATTGACTCCAACCTGCAACCAGTTTCGACTCACAAGAGCCTTCGTCAGGCAGTTGGGTCTACAAACAACACATATCCTGAATACACATATACAACTGAACAATTTGTTATAACAAGTTTGTAAGAATATATACAGACATTCTACTTACTCAAATTATCAAAAAAAGCTCAACTTTAGAGGTGAGAAATTCACCAACAGTCTTCTGAAGGGGTGGATCCTAAGGGGACATAGTGGCTAAAGGTATATATTTTTTTGATATGTGTATTTGTAATATATACATGGAGTCCATTTAGTTATTTTCATATTACCACAATCAGTGGATTTTGGTCTCCACAGTTTCAGGGGAACCCATTTTTCTTTTTACAATTCCAGAATGCCATGGGGATCCTGGGAGTAGATTGAAAAATAACTACTACACATAAACAGGGGAGAAACGTGCCAAGAAGAAGGTGCATCAAGTCACCCCTGACTTGGACTGCCTTCCGTCTGGAAACCGGTGTCCTCACTGCAGGAGAACATGCAGATCAAGAACAGGGCTCCACAGCCACCTATGGACCCACTGCAGACACCACATTTGGAAAACTATCATCTTCGAGCTACGAGGGATTTCCTAAGTAAAGTGATGTGTGATATATATCTGGGCACTGAAAAACACTTCTAAAGCTCTGCTGTGTTTACGCACTGGCAAGTCTCTGTTGTCCTAGCTGATCAGAGGTAACAGGTTATTCAGTCTAAAAACATTGCCTTGCATAGTTATATCTGGTTGTATACCATAAGAGAAGATTCTATTCTAAAGGATTTTTGGCTCTTCTCTGAAAGGTCATGCTTTTCTAAAAAGTTATAATCTCCAAAAAGTGTTGTGCCAAAAGGTTATGAATGCCATTTTCCAAAAGATACAGAGGTGGTCCTCATTTCTTTTTGGAGTCCCTGTCTCAACGTTACAGAACAAAACCCTCATTCAAAGACACAAAATCTTTCAAATCAGTTGAAAAGCACATACTTAATGAAAACCAGATTATCATCTTTTCCAAGAATACGTACCAAGAAATTTGGCCAATCTGTCCTTAAGCAGATAAGACCGGCTTTATAGAGCACCAGCAGAATGCCTATCGTCAACAAAGATAGAAATATTGCAGAGAAGACTGAACTTATTATATTATCTGTGAAAATAAAATAAAAATGTTAGGATAAACAAGAAGACATTTGGGAGATACTGTGAGGTATCATGGCTTTGTGAGACATAATGAGCATTGCAGTATAAAATGCAAAAAGAAAAAAAAGGAGAAAAACAGATATTTGATACCCTTTGGCTTTTCCAAAAAGACACAACAAGCTACCTTACCTTTCCTCCTATCATAACCCACAGTACCTGATTTATTAATTAATTTATTCCCACATACCTGATTTATTCTTAGACTCGGTGATAATACATTTTGAGGAAGACGGCTTGCACTGTTTATTTAAATTTGTAGACACATCCACAGCAATGCAATAATTTCTGTTTGGAAGCAAATTTCCCATAACAACACTGAAACTCTCTTGCTTGCTTGTATTGTCATCTCTCTGTAAGAGAAAAATGGTTTTGTTTAGCAACTGATAAATGTACTGCAAACAGCATGGCATGCTAAATCTGTGAAATGTGGCTGTGTGAACAGGAAAACATCAGCCAGCTAAGAGGCCAATGCACAGCCCTATATCCCCTCCTAATTTAAGTCATGTGAAAGAGAAATCAATATTGATCCAGAGCTTGGAAAAAGGCCACCTTTTGGGACTGAAACAGCTCGAACCCTCCAAATAATTTGGCTGGCAGATGCTGTTGTGCAGGAATTGTAACTCCCCTAAAACTTTTCCAGGCTTTAGACTAGCTTACCTCACAAGCATGCAATAGAGTTTATAGAGGTAATACTGTACTAATTTTACTTCAAACGCATTGTGAACACTAACATAACCAATTATAGATTGATAGGATTTGTCATTTATTTATTTATTTATATATTTATTTACAGTATTTATATTTCGCCATTCTCACCCTGAAGGGGACTCAGGGCGGATCACAATGCACACATACATGGCAAACATTTGATGGTGTTTTTTGACATACAAGACATACAGACAGATAGAGGTCATTCAGCAGTTTTTCCACTTCAGATCCTGGAAGTTGCTTGATTCCAGCCACAGGGGAGAGCTGTAGAGTCACCCACTATGATGCTGAGCCTTTTGATCGCAGTATTTCCTCCTTGCTGTTTGGCATTTTTATGCTGTCATAAATTAACCTCCCCACTTTAAGCGGTCCCTAATTTCTCAACTGTTTTTGAACTACTTAGGCGAACAGTAAGCTGGGCTATTAACAGTCGGGAGCTCAACCCCGACTCGAGCTTTGAACTTGCCACCTTTCAGTCGGCAGTAATTTATTGCTGCTAGTGATTAACTAGCTGTGCTACCAGCCTGCCTGGCCCGAGCAGACCTATTTAAATCAATGGGATTCTAATTACTCATAACTAATACATTTCCTGCTGATTTCAACAGGTCTGCTAAGTCTCAGTCTAACCCAACAATCTATACACATAATAAAAGTGAAAATATGCATGTGTGTATGTGGCTGGGGTGTCCACTTACACAGGCAATCTCCTCCCTCCACTAACAATTATAGCTCCACCTACACAGGAAACACCTGCTCCATCCAATGACATTGCAGATTATAGTGGGCACCATGAACATGTATAAGAGCCCTGTCAATGTTCTCCACAAACACTATACTGGTCACTACCCAAGTGAAGGATTTCATTTGGGGGCAATTTCATCCTAGATTTTATGTGTTTCCTCCACCACAGACATTCCAGTGTTTCTTACTCTCTGAATTGGTGTGGAATTTACATGACCCCACCCACTGCCTCTCCCTTAACCCTTTCCTATTATTTTTATGGCACACAGCAAACAGAGCAATTGATCAGTAACTGAACACACTAGAGAGGTTTGAGGAGAATTCACCATGAGTTGTAGGGACTGGGATGTATAGTTCATCTGCAATTTAAGAGCACTCTGAACTCTACCAACGATGGACCTGAACTAACTTGGCACACAGAACCCCCATGACCCACAAAAAATACTGGAGGTCTTTGGAGAGATTTATAGGAGTTGCCGTTCACCTACTTCCAGAGCGCACTATGAACCCAAACAATGATGGATCTGGACCAAACTTGGCATGCATACCGATATCTCCAAATTTGAATACTGGAGGGTTTTGAGGGGAATTGGCCAGGACATTTTGGAGTTGTATGTACTGGAATTTATAGTTCACCTGCAATCAATAAGCATTCTGAACTCCACCAAAGATGAAATTGGACCAAACTTGGCACACAAAGCCCCCATGACCAGGAAAAAATACTGAAAGTCTTTGAGGGAAATTCATCTTGACTTGGGGGAGTTGTAGTTCATCTACCAAACTTGGCACACATACCTGATATGCCAAAACTTGATTACTGGAGGAGTTTGGGGAGAACTGACTTTTCTTTCTGGGAGTAGTAGTTCACCCACAATCAGAGAAACTGTGACCTCCACCGATGAGGGATCTGGACCAAACTTGGCACACAGAACCGCTATGACTAGCTCAATCTACTGGAGGGGTTTGAAGGAACTGACTCACTATAGAGAGTTGTAGTTTACCCTACAGCCAGAGAGCACAATGAACCCCACCAATGATGCATCTAGAGCAAACTTGCCCAACATAGCAAATGTTAAGTACTGATAGAGTTTCATGGGCTTAACATGGCATGATGTGAGTTGTAGTTCACCTACAACCTTTTGCTTTTTGTACAATTAAGAAATTGACTTTTTCAAATAATCCGGGCAATGCCAAGTACCCAAGCTAGTAATCACATAAATTGTAACACTTAATAACTACACTAACAATTCTTCCTGCCCCATCAACATAACCGTTTCTGATGTTCTGTTAGTACAGATGATGGAAATATCTTCGAACAGATACTGGAACAAGAGAGAGACAGCATGGTGTAATAGCTGTGTGTTGGACTATGGCTCTGGAGAACAGCTTGAATCCCTAGTTGACCATGGAAACCCACTGGGTGTATTTGGGCAAGACATTTGGGAATTATGATAAAGTATCACAGCCTCAGAGGAAGGCAGAGGGAAACCCACTCTGAACAAATCTTGCCAAGAAAACCCAGTGACTAGTTTATCTCAGGGTCAACTTGAAGGTACATAACAAAACTAAAGAGGAATTTTATATTACTATAATATCTTAATCCAACTGATTATTTGGATATTTCTGAGAAATATATCGAGCAATCTTGCTCAGTTATCAATCTTTTCTGCTTTAATAATATTGAGATGTTCCTCATGATAAACTTTAGCGCATGGCTAATTTATGGACCAGTGATTTCCTGATTTCCTCATACTTTGGTAATAATACTGGTAACATTCAATAATTGGCTAAATATTTGGAATTTGCCAATTAAAACAAATGTTCCAAAACTTTGAAGCATGCATTTGATATAAACAGGGAGCAGTACAAACTAAAGTTCAGTATACTGAAACTGAAAAGTTAGCAAGTTTCTTAATTGATTAAATACATTTGTTTTACCATTTTATCAGCATTTACTTTGATTATTGTTACTACTGACCTTGTCTGGGAAACCTGGTGTCGACATCTTGATTGTATAGCGAATGTCCCTGTATACTTTTGGTAGTAAGGGTGATGACAGTTCCACCATCACATTTACACAGTTTGGACAAGATGAAACATTAAACTGAGGCTGGCCCAAGCATGCTGTTGATCAAGTAAATTTAATAAAAAAGATATCAATGACACTTGCTAACATAACCATTTCTGGCCTACATTTTTGTCAGTTGAATAATGAATTAACCATTTAAAGCACAGCTAACTTGGAACTAAGATTTCAAATCAAATCAACCCATTTAGCAAAATTAATTCCAAGGCTGTATGCTTACTTACGATTCAAGTGTAAACATTTATGCCTTTTACCTCTGATGCTAGTCTTACTTTAACCATCATTAAATTAACTACATTCACTTCACTAAATTCTGATTTGGAAAGCCATATCTGAGTCTAACTCCAGATCTAGTGAGCTGATTTTAAGATTTAGTCAAAAATTTAAAAAACAAAACAAAAAACAAACCAATAACAAAACCCACTGGTAGGGTTTTTCAACATGATTCCCAAACTGTGAACTCACCCTGAACCATCCTGACAAATAGTGGCTTCAAGTAAGTATGATGTGTATGTTATTTGTTTGTTTAAACTCAGTTTGTCCCAATGGATTGTTGAAAGAATCACTGGGTTATTGTAGGTTTTTCCTGCTGTATGGCCACGTTCTAGAAGTATTCTCTCCTGATGTTTCTCCTGCATCTATGACAGGCATCCTCAGAGATAAACATTACAATCACTATTAAAATCACACAATCCACAGTTGTAATCTGGGGTCGTTCCGAAAATCACTGCACATCTGTCATAGTTATTTTTGCACTGTAGTTAAATCTCCAAAGGCTTGACCCCAGAGCCAGGTTTTCACTTTCCTTCTGAAGGCCAGGAGGGAGGGAGCGGCTCTAATATAACTGGGGAGTAAGTTCCACAGCTGAGGGGCCATCACTGAGAAGGCCCTGTCTCTTGCTCCCATGAGATGCACCTGTGCAGGTGGCGGGACTGAAAGTAGGGCTTCTTCTGATGATCTTAGTCTCCTAGGCCACCATCTGGCCATCACTGTCATATTTGCTGATGTAAGAACAGCATTCCCCCGCAAACAGCAGATCCTTCTTATTGATCATGTGGACACCCTGGTCTGATATCAGCAGACATAACAGACAACAGCTATTCAGCTGGATGAAACTCTGGTTACAGCCAGTTTTGGATGGGGTTACACTCTCCCTGAAGACACAGGATCGCAGCTTGGGAGTTCTCCTGGATTCATCGCTGAGTCTGGAACCCAAGGGGAGCTTTTGCACAATTAAAGCTTGTGTGCCAGTTGCGCCTGTACCTTGGGAAGTCAGGCTTAGACACGGTAGTCCACGCTCTGGTTACATCCTGAATAGTCTATTGTAATGGGGCTGCCTTTGAAGACTGTTCAGAAGCTCCAATTGGTCCAACGGGTGGCAGCACACAACCCCCCTGTTACACCAGCTGCCCGTCTGCTTCTGAGCACAATTCAAAGTGCTGACTTTAGCCTATAAAGCCCTAAATGGTTCTGTCCCAGCTTACCTGTCCCAACGTATCTCCCTCTATGAACCATCTTGGAGGTTAAGATGATCTGGGGAGGCCCCGCTCTCGGTCCCAACCCTGTCGCAGGTGCAACTGGTGGGGACGAGAGACAGGACCTTCTCAGTGGCTCCTCAGTTGTGGACCCCCCACCAATGAAATTAGATCAGCGCCCTCCTTCCTGGCCTTCAGAAAAAAGTAAAAACTGGGCTATGGGACCAAGCCTTTGGGCATTAAACAATACAAGGAATGATCAGGGATTATGTGCAATTGATATTGATATTTGGAATGACCTTGAACCATGATTTTTGGATTATGTGATTTTAATGTTTATAATAATATGTTTTTAACTCTACGTTCTAATGTTTAAATGTTGTTATGTTTTTATGATCTAATCAATAGTTATATGTTATTGTTGGTTTATGTTAGGTTTCATATGTATGTGAGGCATTAAATTTTGCCATAAATACATTGGAAACTGCTTTGAGTTCCCCCTGGGGTAAGAAAAGCAGTATACAAGTGAAATAAATAACAAGCAAACAAACAATAAGGATATCCGAAACTGTTCAAATGAAAAAGTGGGGCTTTTAAAGTTAAAGCATTGCCAAATTTCAGCAGCAAAATCAGCAGTGGCAGTTTGGGGCAGGTTCATGTGGTTCCAGTTAAGGCAAAATAGCTCCTGGATGCATGGAAGTGATCCACGGGTGAATTAAACACTTCAGACATTGACTAACTACTCTAAAATGATACCAAGATTTTGCAGCTTGAAATTACTATCCAATTTTATCTAATGGTAGAACAGTCTTTCTTAGCATGATGTCTTCTAGAAGATTTGGATGACAACTCTCAAACATTAATAGAAAAGAGAATACTCACTGTTCAAGTAGGGAGTGAAATATATCATTGATTGAGTTACTTCATTTTCTGTGACTTGCTGCACTAAAATAGAGTACATAATCTCCGGGTCTGTAAATTCTTTTGTTAGGTTGCAGAATGGCCTTGTGATATTGGAACATCCTGTGACAATTCTGGAGAATAAGTTCAGAGGACTTTAAAAGGAAGTGAGGAAAATGAAAGGAATATTTCCTATCTAGCTCTAAAATGGCAACTCAAAAAGGACATGCAGTAACCACAATGTGGAATCCTATTGGTTAGTTATAGGTTAAAGTAGACCTATTTAACAAGTTGCTGAACTGTGCATTAAAAACAAGTTGTTTACCTTTCATTGTGGCTCTTCAAGTGGTCTCTCAAGCATTTTACAGTTTTTTTTTTGTCGTGTCAGGAGCAACCGCTCCTGTTGTGAGAGAATTGGCCGTCTGCAAGGACGTTGCCCAGGGGACGCCTGGATGATTTTTGATGTTTTATCATCCTTGTGGGAGGCTTCTCTCATGTCCCCGCATGAGGAGCTGGAGCTAATAGAGGGAGCTCATCTGCCTCTCCCCGGATTCGAACCTGCAACCTGTCGGTCTTCAGTCCTGCCGGCACAGTGCTTTAACCCACTGCGCCACCGGGGGCTCCTATTTTACAGTTGCAGCCTTGTGACAGCAGAAACAAGGTAGATACACAATGGAGAGATGTGTAAGCTACAGATGACCACTTGCAGAACTACAGTTACGGGTAAGCAATCTGTTTGTCTTCTTCGTAGTCTGTGACTTCCACAATGGGAAGATTAACAAGCTATACTCATAGGTGGCTGAGAAATGCATCAATGAATATGTGAAATGAAAACTGCCTTGCCAAACAATGCTTCTGTTGCTGGCAGACATCCAACCTATAATGGTAAATGAATACAATAGGGTACCATGTTGCAACATTGCAGATGTCATGTAATGGAACTTTTACCATGAATGCAACCAAAGCCAAAATTGCTCAGGCAGAGTTACCATGAATTACAGGTGATTCAAGTTTCCTGATGAGTTCATAAATAGACCAGTCCAATAGTAACTACAATCCTTTTAGGAAATGTTTGCAAGGAAACTATAATACCTTTATTAAGTCCACCACAATAAAATTAGTTTAGATTCCTTCCTAAATTCCAAGGTCCTTCCAACATCCAATGCGTGATATTTCACTTCTATTTCAGACTTGAAACAGAGGAGTGGCAGGTTAGAGTTTTGGACAAGTAGAAATGTGATGCAAAAGGATGTATCAGGTTGTAAAAAGACCTTGTCCTGGTGGACTGTCATAGCAGAAAGCACATTGCTCATTGTGATAAAGTGATAGCAATGAAAAAGGAATTTTTTGTGCACCAGAAGTCATAGTTCTGATGTCACAAGGGGCCAAAATGGATAAGTCTCACATATCCAATCTTATTAGGTTCTGAAATTCTGCTGCAGAGGCTCAGTGGGAGTGGGATTAATGCTTGTGGGAAGGAGAGGGTTAGGGTTAGGGATAGGTCTAGAGAAGAGCTAGAAGCTAAGCACTGAATAGTGCTAGCTCCTGAGCATTATCAACTAATCCATGTACCCAGGTCATGTAAACCTCAAGCCTTGGATATGGCTTCTAACTGCACGCAAATGATTTCTTGTGTTAATGTAGTGTGTCACTCCACCTTCTTTCTGATGGTTGTCTTTGACCTGAACCTCTGACTGTCTTTGATCACACACCTGTACTTTTTTAGCAAATCACTTTTTTCTGGCATAGATGGACAGACGGGAAGCTCCTCTGGCTGCAGGACTGGATGATCTGGATCCTCCTTTTGCTGAAACCTGGTAGAAGGAGCACACAAGGGAGTACTGTATATGGCAAAGATCCAAAATCCCAGGAGAAACAACCAATGATCCCTTGCTTTCCTGAACTACTTGATGACAATTTTCAGACTTTGAAAATTAGTGTCACCACTGCTTCATTAATGTGTCAGATTTAATAGGAATCTACTACACAGTCTGAGAATGTAAATGTGAAGAGGATACAGGCTGGATCTACACTGCCATATAATGCAATTTCAAACTGCATTATAAAGCAGTGTAGATCCAGCCACAGAGCGATATCCTGGGAAAACGTTCCATAGCTGATAAATTACCTTTCCTCAGGTGCTAGTTTGAGCACAACAAGTTTTCTCATTGGATTGCAATACAGTAGAGTCTCATTTATCCAACCTTCACTTAGCCAGCGTCCTGTATTATCCAACAAAGTCCAGGGTGGGAGAAAGAAAGAACCCTTGTCTGTTTTGGTGCTAAATTCGTTAATACAGTAATTACTACATAATGTTACTGTGTATTGAACTGTTTTGTTTTCTGATGATTTTTGTTGTAAAACATGATGTTTTTGGTGCTTAATTTGTAAAATCATAATGTAATCATAACGGAATTTGACGTTTAATAGGCGTTTCCTTAATTCCTCCTTATTATCCAACATTTTTGCTTATCCAACGTTCTGCCGGCCTGTTTATGTTGGATAAGTGAGATTCTACTGTATTAGTGCTATTTCCCAATGTGCGGTGATGGGAGTGATTTCATCCCAATTTATAGAAAGAGTGTCATATTTATATATGATGAGCTTTCCTATACCTCCAGGAGGCTTTCATTTTCAAATATATGTAAACGTCAGCACCAGTGTCATCTAATTTTCTGCTACTCTCAGGTGCATTAGAATACAACTCATCCTGAGAGGATTCAAGCAATGGACATGTTATAGGGGACATGGGTAAACCTATATGGAAACCTATATCCAACCTATATGGAAAGAACCATGTTGGGAAATGTGAGTATGTGAGTATAGCTCAGATTAAATGAAAAAAATGGAGGCGAATCCTCCGCCACCATCACAGAATAGGATTTACTAAAATATACTCCTGACATTTTCCAAGACACCATTCAGTCCCCAAAAGGAAATCTAAATGAAGTGCAGTAATGTTTAGCAGCAAAGCTACTTATACTACTAACAATTTATCCCACATTCATGCAAAAAATCTGATGCTATTTTTGGATATTACAGCAAAACATCTGAGCCAAAACTGTCCCTTGGATGTTCTGACTTGGAAATATCAACCAAAGACCAACCTATATTTTAAAGCCAACTTCTAACAGGTAGCTTACTTACCTGGACTTGCTGGAAGATGCATCTTGTCCCTCGTCTTTTTTCGGTGAATTTGACGTTGTTTCCAGACTTGAATAGTGGAGAGAGGGAAACGTATATCAAAGCATTAATTTGCTTGATATATTTTCTGTTAGATTTTTTTCTAAAAGGTAAGCAACATTAACAATGCAAAGCGGCAATATTAATAGTGATCTGCCTGCCGATGTCAAACATCCCCTTCAAAACACTTCTGGGAGCTCTGGCAGAAACTTAAATATACTTAAAACAAACAATGTACTTGATCATATCATAAAACATATAAAATGTGAATACACATTGTATAGAGATATAAAACAGAAACCTTGGTGAAGAATACATCACATTGAAGCATGTCGGCATCCTTGTATTATTTCTAGTTTTCCACGTTAACACATATTCAAAATCCTTTGCTTTCATATACAGTTGGAGTGATGATGATGGATTTTTTTCTTGTGGAAAAAAGAGAAAAAAACATTTATTCATGTTATCAAGAAGTCCAGCTGTTCCATTTATATACAATTTAATTATTAATTTGATACATAACAAGATTAGTATGCAGCAAACAAGATCACTTTGCTGGCTTTTGTATCGGACACTTCCCAAGTGTCTAGGACTGTATGTATGGGTGATGTATCAGTGAATAATGCATGCAGATCCGAGTAGGCCTTTTGCAGCTGACAGAAGGTAATTTTGTCGGCGCCAATTGACAAAATTACTACTATTATTATTATTATTATTATTATTATTATTATTATTATTATTCTGACACAAAACCACAGTATGTCACAGCAAACGAGATCTATATGCTGAATTTTGTATCAAAAAATCACAAGTCAAACACTTCCCAAGTGTCTAGGACTGTGTGATGTATTTCCAAATGATGCGCGCAGATCCAAGTAAGGTGACAGATCGTGATTTTGTCAATGTTTATTGTTTCCAAATGCTGGCTGAGATCTTTTGACATGGCACCCAGTGTGCCCATTACCACTGGGACCACCTGTGCTGGTTTATGCCAGAGCCCTTGCAGTTCGATTTTGAGGTCTTGATAATGGCTGAGCTTTTCCTGTTGTTTTTTCTCAATGCGGCTGTCACCCGGTATGGTGACATCAATAATCCAGACTTTTTTCTTTTCCACAATCGTGAGGTCTGGTGTATTGTGTTCCAAAACTTTATCAGTCTGGATTTGAAAGTCCCACAGTATTTTTGCATGTTATTTTCCATGACCTTTGTGGGTTTTTGATCCCCCCATTATTTACTGCTGGCAGGTGGTATTTGTGACATAAGTTCCAGTGAATCATTTGGGCCACAGAGTTGTGTCTTTGTAATCTGTCTGTGCGATTTTCTTGCAACAGCTGAGGAGATGGTCCATGGTTTCATCAGCTTCCTTGCACAGTCTACATTTTGGGTCATCAGCTGATTTTTCAATCCTGGCCTTAATAGCATTTGTTCTGATGGCTTGCTCCTGGACTGCAAGAGTCTGTCTCCTCCTTCAGGGTTCCATTCATGAGCCATAATCAGGGCTTCTCCTTGTCAACTTTTCCTTCAATTTTGTCAAGAAACTGCCTATGTAATTTTGTCAAGGAACTGCCCATGCAATGCTTTGTTGTGCCAGCTGTCAGCTCTGGTTTGGAGTGCAGTTTTCTTGTACTGACTCTTTGTCTGCTGTGCTTTGAGAAGTTTCCGATTATTGACTTCAATTAAAGCAGGTTCTTGACTTTCCTTGACATATTCTGCCAGGGTGTGTTTTTCTTCTTCAACTGCTTGTTTGACTTGTAAGAGACCTCTGCCACCAGACCTTCTAGGCAGATAGATCTGGTCAACATCACTGCGAGTGAATTATGCAGTGAATTATGAATGGTGATGAGTTTTCTTGTTTTTCTGTCCAAATTGTCATTATTATTATTATTATTATTATTATTATTATTATTATTATTATTCTTTACACCCTGCTTTATCTCTCTCAGAGGAAACTCAAAGCAACAGCATGCAATTTAAAATATACAAACATGGAGACAGGATTAAATATAGGTAAAGGTAGGTAAAAGTTTTCCCCGATATTAAGCCCAGTCATGTCCAACTCTGGGGGTTGGTGCTCATCTCCTTTTCTCAGCCGAAGAGCTAGCGTTGTCTGTAGACACCTCTAAGGTCATGTGGCTGGCATGACTGCATAGAGTGCTGTTACCTTCCTGCCAGAGCAGTACCTATTGATCTACTCACATTTGCATGTTTTCAAACTGCTAGGTTGGCAGAAGCTGGGGCTAACAGCGGGAGTTCATGGTGCTCCCCGGATTCAACCCTGCGACCTTTTGATCAGCATGTTCAGCAGCTCAGCGGTTTAACCCACTGTGCCACCGGGGGCTCCATATTAAATATAAACAGTTTTAAAATTTTCCAGTTAAAATCCTAAGCCCATCATGATACTACTATTCTGTGGTGGTGGAACTGCATGCTTGTGTAAAGTAAGAGACAGCAGTGCTGTCAATAGAGTTTCCCATTCAAACAGGAATAGAAAAATGTGCTTAAGAGGCAGAATAAATGTGCAACTAGGCCTCAGTTGTAGTGTGTATTTAATAACATTGATGGAGGATTTCTCAGAGACAACATCAGTAGCACCGTAGCTAGTACTTGTTAATTATTCTGCAAAAGAAAGCAATAACAAACCTCTACTGATGACTTCTACCTTGAAAATTCTTGTGTTGAGGCAGTCCAAAATTGAACAAAAGATAAATGAAATCCCTAGGTCGAATGGCACTCAACAAGCTACTGGGATTAGAGCAGAGGACAGGACAATTATGAAGAAGATCTTTAAAGTAATTTATAATTACTTACCAACTGAGCTGTATGAAGTAGAAGCTATCACACTGATGTACACTACAAATTAAAACAGTGCATTAGAAAAGTAGCTATAAAAGCCTGATCTACAAAACTAACATTATTAGATAGTCTGGAAATGGAATGGAACACACTTCCTATAGAAAAGAAGCCAGTATCATGGATTTTGTTTCCAAAAGAGATGGGTGGGGAGATTTCTTCAAAGAATCCTGAAAACGGTTTTTCATTGTTACATTGGGAATGGATAATAATAGTAATAATAGCGTTACTTATATCCTGCTCCCCGCAGGGACTCGGAGTGGCTCACAACAGTATAAAATCACAAAATACAGAATAAAACAAATAGATATTTCAAATTAAATACACGACCAACAGTAGCCAATTAGAAGGATTAATCAAACCATAACAGACAGCAAGGACATTGTATATAAATAAAATAAGATACATAAATACATAATAATAATATTTATTATTATGTATTTATGTATCAGAGGACTCTTTCACACTACAATATTACAGCTTTATGATTCCATTTGAACTGCTGAAGCTTCCTCCAATGGAGCAGTTTCTGAGTCGCTAGAGCAGCGTTTCTCAACCTGGGGGTGAGGACCTCTGGGGGGCAGTCATGAGAGAATATTAGAGGGGTCGCCAAAGACCATCAGAAAAAAACAGTATTTTCTGTTGGTCATGGGGTTCTGTGTGGGAAGTCTGGCCCAGTTCTATTATTGGTGGGGTTCAGAATGCTCTTTGATTGTAGGTGAACTATAAATCCCAGCAACTACAACTCCCAAATGTCAAGGTCTATTTTCCCCAAGCTCCACCAATTTGGGCATATTGAGTATTCATGCCAAGTTTGGTTCGGATCCATCATTGTTTGAGTCCACAGCTTTCTGGATGTAGGTGAACTACAACTCCAAAACTCACGGTCAAAGCCCACCAAACCCTTCCAGTATTTTCTGTTGGTCATGGGAGTTCTGTGTGCCAAATTTGGTTCAATTCCATTGTTGGTAGAGTTCAGAATGCTCTTTGAACTACAAATCCCAGCAACTACAACTCCCAAATAACAAAATCAATCCCTCCCAACCCCATCAGTGTTCAAATTTGGGCATATCAGGTATTTGTGACAAATTTGGTCCAGTGAATGAAAATACATCCTGCATATCAGATATTTACATTATGATTCATAACAGCAGCAACATTGCAGTTATGAAGTATAAACAATTTTATGGTTGGGGGTCACCACAACATGAGGAACTGTATTAAGGGGTCGTGGCATTAGGAAGGTTGAGAAACACTGCCCTAGAGCTCTCTGGCTGAAAAATTTAAACCCCCCTTCCTAAACTCCAAATTTTAGGAGGGAATTATGATAGATAAAATGTAAAAATGGGGATATAGAGGTGTAGTAACAAAGGTCCAAGAGTGGTGAAAAGTATCTATTATATCTGCCTTCCTCTATGATTCCCACTTCTAATCCACTTAAACAATATTTCCCTGAAGCAAGGCAGTTTACGGCTTCTATGCTAGTGAGGTGAAGAAATCACTCTAGATTTCACTATGCACTACGATTTTTGTTCCTGAATTATAAATGTCATTTCCTATATGGTTCTATCATAAAAACATGGAAAGACCGCATAACCTGTGAAGATGCCTGCCATAGATGAGGGTCAAACGTCAGGGGAGAATGCTTATGGAACATGGCCATACAGCCCGAAAAACTCACAGCAAACCAATATGGAAAAAGTTCATAAAACCTCAAGATATCCTGCAGTACATTTGCAAGACATCCTGCAGCACATTTTGCTATAGTTTTTTGAAATGAAGATCTCATAGTCTCAACCAATTCAACATAGTTTGTGGCAGCCACAAAAACAAAATTTCTGGACTATAACAACAAATTTCAAAGTATGTACTGAACAATGAAACAGGAAATAACACTTTCAAACCACAGAACCTTTTTTCAAATTCTGTTGCATAGTGTTTGTGTTCAAAATGTAAAGGAATTATCCAAGGTAGATTGTGCACACACTATATCTGAGACAGGCAGACTTCAAGCTTGCAAGATCTATTTAACCTTCCTTCCTTCCTTCCTTCTTTCGTCCCTCTTTATTTTTTTTTAATTCTGAGATTCATTCATAAAAACAACAACAACAACACCTTATATTCTGCCCTATCTCCCCAAGGGGACTCAGGGCAGGTCACAGTACACATGCACGACAAATGTTCAATGCCGTTTGTACAGACAGAATAGAACAGATAGAAAGGAGGTATGTTGTGTCGATGTCCAGCTTTTCAGCGCCTTTGGAGCTTGTGCTCAATTTCAGCCACAGGGAGTGCGGTTGCTCCATCCTCTATGACAAAGAGCTGGGTGAAACCTCTGCTTTTCTTGCTCATGTCTATAATGGGATTATTAATGCCAAGAACCATTTTAGGACTACAATCCTCAGCATATTTAACCAAGCAATAACAACTGCTCAACTTAGTGAACTTGCTTCTTGCCATTTCATCACACTAGAGAAAAAAACCCACTTAAAATCTGGTTTCTGCCTCCTTCTCTAGTGTGATGAAGCCTTTGATAAGCATTAAGATCAGAAAGAATCGGGCATCATATCCTTTATCCCCCTCTCTCTGAATTAAATGGGATGTAAAAGGATTTAACTTGGCTGTATTTTCTCATCTTTTTGAACATAGCAGGATGCTATTTCCCTTACGCAAAACACCCCTCTGATCCTGAGATAATTTTATTTATTTATATTAAAAAACTATTTTCTAAACAAAGTTGCCAGGCAGGAAGAACTGGAAGAAACAGGAAGGCCAAAACAGGCATTAACAAATCACAAATGCAAATTCCTCAAAAGGAATATGAAAACTGAACAGAAGAAATGAATGATTTGAATGACAAAATCAACCCCCCTCCAACCCCATCAGTATTAAAATTTGTGTGTATCGGGTATTTGTGCCAAATTTGATCCAGTGAGTGAAAATATATCCTGCATATCAGATATTTACATTACGATTCACAACAGTAGCAAAATTACAGTTATGAAATAGCAACGAAAATAATGTTATGGTTGGGGGTCACCACAACATGAGGAACTGTATTAAGGGGTCATGGCATTAGGAAGATTGAGAAACACTGGACTAATGCATGTGTTCCCATCTTCCCATAGTGGAGTTCAGCTTCTACTTCATGGACTGAATTGTCTTGTCCTCAATTGCATTAGCAGAAAGTAGCAAAGGCTTCCTGGATCTTCACAGATGCAGCATACATACTCTAAATACTCATGTGTAAGTCAAGAAATTTTGTGTAAGTCATGTGTAAGTCACATAATCAACCCAAAACAACTTAGTTGACTTATCCGTCGATATAAGTACTGAACCATAACTCTTATCAGAAAAGGAAACATCTCCTTCTCTGAGGAAGAGCTTAGTCCATTCTGGGAGAACCTAAAAGAAACACTGAACCCATCTACTCTCCTATCCTTTCTGCCACAGCACTGCTTTCAACCTTTTTAAAAGCCTGGATATGGAAATAGTGGTGGAAGCCAGAGATGGCTGACCCATCTGAACAGGGGGGGGGGGGTGGAGGGGCTTCAGCCCCCCCCCGAAATTCTCATGGTGGTCCGCAAGAAGGCCTACTGGTGCATTATTTAAACTGTTATGTTTATTCATATCATGATCTGATCACCATACTCAATATATCCCATATGCATGGGGGTATTGGGGTAATGATACAAAAGGTTTGCTAGGCTAGACCCTCTTTCACTCAGACTCAGCCCCCCCCCCCAGAACTCAGCCCGCCCCCCCCCCCAAACCCCCCCTGAAATTTTTTTAGCCCCCCCCCCCCCCCGAAACGAAATCCTGGCTACGGGCCTGCATCTGAAGCAACATTGGTGTTTCTCCTCTCCATCGAATGACCTTCGACTTACCCACGGGTCAAATCAACATTCATTATTTTGGCCCCTAAATCTGTTCCATGAGGTCAACTTATATATTTGGTAACTAGAGCGACCTTCTTTAGTGGGATCTCAGCCATTATACCACCCTTCATTCCTACAGCTCTGTCAGAAGTAAATTCTACAGAAAGTTCAAACTCAAAGTGGCAGCAGCAAATAATCCATGAACTAATCAAATTTGTGGAAGTGAAACCTGCAAAAGATATGTTTATGGAATTAAGCAGGAACAAAGCCATCTCATAGTAATATGGGAATATGGGAATGAAACTTTGGAAGAAGTTTGAATATTCAAAAATGGAAAATATATGGAATGTGCATACTTTAAAAATATGTCTGTAAGAATTAAAGAAAATTATTATAAAATAATATGGAGAAGGTATTTAACACCAATTAGATTAAATCAGATAGATGAGAAATACTCAAATCAGTGGTGGAGAGGATGTCAAGAAATAGGCTCATATACCCACATGTGGTAGTCTTGTAAATTTATACAAAACATGGGAATTAATATTTAAGGAAATAAAAGTGAAACTAAAAAGAGAGATAAAGGGCACACTAGAAATAGCATTATTATCACTATATGACAGTATTAAATCCTCACAAGAAGTGAAGGAACCAATTTTTCAATTTATTAACGGCAGCAAGACTGGTAGTAGCTAAAAAGTAGAATGATAAAAGTGAAATCCAATTGGAAGAATGGTATAGAGAAGTTTGGAACATAGTGATTAATGACAAAACAATTTGTGACATCAACTGACTTGTGACAAACTGACTTGTGACGCTGGAAACAAACAGACTTTTGGAAAATATGGGGGAAGTTTATAGAATTTGTGTTCAATGAAGGATGGGGGAAAAAAACCTGCAACAGAAACAATGAAATTTTGGATATAAAGAATTTGATAAGTTGGTCCAGGGGAAAGTGGCACAAGGGAGGGGAAAATGGGGAGGGGGAGGAGGAAGAAAAAGTTAAATATATTTAAGTAATTAGAAGAACTGTATTAGAACTGTAAGTACAGTATATTTTAGATAAAGAAAGTTTTAAACTAATTTAGGTGTCTTTTTATTATTACTTTTAGCATTATCTTACTTTATTAATTATTAATATTAAGGCCTTTAATTATTTCCTCCCCCCTCTTTCTATATATATATAAGTGATGCTCGAGAAAAGAATGTTTAAATTGTACAATGCAAAATGACTATATGATACTATATCTTAGTTGACATTATTAATTGTAAACAACTTACAATTTTTTTAAAGAGATCCCCCCTCAAATATTCATTCTGTCTAAATTAAACTCACCAAGTTTGGAGAAATTCAGGGGTCCCATAAACAGTGCCATCGTAGTTCAAAATCACATCCTACCGGTGGTCACATGCTGATTTCACTTCTGTATTCGAAACTGTAAAATACAAAGAAACTTGTTTTCAGATGACTATCAACTTTGTTTTCATCTTATTCCCCCTCCTCAGTATTTAAAATTAAGGCACAACGTAACTCCAGTGCTATGACTGGTAAGGACATACCAAGGGATATCTCCAATTGTGTCCTTCCAGAGATTTGGAAGTTAATTCCGGGGGTATCTAAGTTTGAGCTTTAATGCACTCTAACACTACTTTTGGGAGTTGTAGTTTTACCAACTTTTTAGCCTTCTCTGACAAATAGTGCTGGAGCTTCACTAAATTACAACTCCCATGATTCCACAGCACGGAGCCATGGCAATTGAAGTGATGTCAAACTACATTAATTCTATAGTGTAGATGCATTCTATATCTTTTTAGATATCAAAATTGCTGTGGTTCACCTGTTCACAGAGGGATATCTGAACCAGTAAAGGGATCTTTAAAGAAAAAGATACAATCTACTGCAACAATCAAGCTTGAAGAATAAAACTTCAACATCTGGTCAGATGAGATTAGCACTATACTGAATGTTTAGCCCATATCCTGCCTGGGTAAAGAGCAAACTTATGGTGTAGAATTTATATTTTTCCGTGGACATTTTTTACCTACTTACATACTTATCTACATATGCAGGTGAATGAAACTGAAGGGGCTACTTATACTTCAGGAAAATAAAGTTAAGCTGATGCTATATGTGCTGCACCCCAGGCCTGGAAACACTTATGACCACAGCACCATACAAGAGTCCACAGTATAAGCAAACAATTTATTGTGAAAACACATTAAAATATATGAAAAAGCAGGGATAAAGAAAGAGAATGTATAATAAAAAAAGCGTTAGCAATAGGTGATAACCTAACAGTAATCTAAATGTCTCATGCAGATCCCAAGGTAATAAAGTCCAGGAATAGCCAAAAATCACAATTACAACATAAGTCCACAAACAAAAGGTATAATTAGTAAAACTTGAGCAGGAATACAAAAACAAGAACATAGAAAATCTCCAGGATACTTGGATCCAAAACCAAGGCTTGACTTGAAACAAGAACCAGAGAACCCAGTCCTAGCTTCTCATTCAAACGCTACATTGCCTAAACCAACCCTTAGCTAAACAACTTGCTAATTAATAGACACCAATGAAGTCATTTCTTTTCCCATGAATTTTCTCTCCAATTTTCCCACCTTCTTGCTCTGACCGGCGCTGCCAATTTTGTGCTCTAATCTGTAAACAAAGACTTTTGTTGATCTCCATAACTCCAGGTGTTTTTCCTTGAGAGCCTTCTGTATCACTTAACTCTTCACCCAACTCTTTATCTAATGTTGCAGTTTCTGGCTCCTCTAACTGACCTTGAAGCCCTGCACTTTCCGAGTCAGGTTTCTCTCAGAGAGAACCATCATTTCCCTGACTTAAGTCTTCATCACTTTGTGCCCCAGGAAATCTCACAATCCTCTCTTAATCATCAGTGAACCTATCAGCTTCAGGCTGTACTACAACAATATGCTATATCAGGTACAGCTCACTTTAGGGATTTGTGCCCTAAAAGCTGTTCTTTTAGGTGCTGTAATTCTCAGTTAAAATAATTTCCGCATATATCATTGAATTTGACTATATCATTTAAACCCAATATTCTAAGACAGATAACATTATTCTTTAAAAAATGTTCCAATTCTATTTTCTCCAGAAAGCTGCTGTGGATTATGTTGCCCTCCAAACCTTCCAGAGGAAACAGACTAAATAAAAGCATATGATACAAGCTGAACTTTTTATTTTACTTTAAATCCAAGGTTTTTGTAAATGTTTTCAAAACAGGTCAGATATGCAACACTAATACCCACAATATGCAACATGGACAGGCACATGAGATGCTAAAAGTGGAGACCAGCAATGTAGCCATAATGCTGGCATTTAAAAGGCAAAAGGGGCAGAAAAAAATCCCTGTCCCCAAAATGATGCTAATCAGAACTTACACACACACACAACTTTCCTACAATGCAATAATGCATTTTTCAAGGAAGAGAGTTCCATGGAAACAAGGCAATCTGCATTTTAAATAAAAATATGCATGATTTCACTTTATGAATAGGATTCAGGCTACAGAAGCTGCACTGCAGGCCCACTGAAATCACACCTAGACCTAAGTGCCATTGATTTCAAGAAGACTCTTCAGCCTTAATAAGCTAGCTGGCATTGCCCCCTGATGTGCAATGGGAAATTGCTGCCAATTGCAAGAGAAATAAGGTTGAATATTGTGAAAGCCACCCACTGTATGGCTATCAGTCTCCTCCCAGTTGACTTAAATCAAAGAAAAGTTTCATGAGAACCACTACTCCTCTAAACGTTCCTCCTGCAACAGCAAGAATATCCCCATGGACAGCAAAATTGGGCAATTCCAACTGGATGCTCCTCCACGAGGGTCTGCCTTCAGGTGCAAACCAAGAATAGGCAACTTAGAAGTCCCTGAACAGACTCAGAAGTGGTGTTGGGAGATCAAAAGAAAACCTGGCACAATGGCACTGCATAGAAGAATCCTCCACCTTGTGCAACGGTGGAGCAAAACAAACAGCTCTACATATACATGCTTGTCCATAATGTCCTGTCTCATACACAGAGGAAGAACTTTTATACACAATGCAGTCGCTGTTGCCTGTTTTTGGTCTAAACGTATTTAGCTGCTTGTGCTCCCTTTATTTTATCAATTTTATACTTACGGTATTTATTTATGTAATGCTTTTGACACAAAATAAATATAGTCTTAAACAAAAGGAAAGGAAGTTGGGGACATGACAGATATGGGTACATCTGCACTGTAGAACTGATGTAGTTTGTCACCACTTCAGCTGTCATGGCTCAATGCGGTGAAATCACAGGAGCTGTAGTTTGGCGAAACTTCAGTACCATGGCAGAGAAAGGTAAAGACCTTCTAAAACTACAACTCCTGGGATTCTATAGCACTGAGCTATGGCAATTAAGGTGGTGCCAAAATGCATTATTCTACAATGTAGATGCATCTATTATACATGTGGGATATGTTCCTGGACCTTACGTGGATATATAATGGTGTATACTGTAACTATCTTGTACCCCACCTCAAGCCGTGAGAAGAGGCAAGTAACAAATAAGCTATTATTAGTATTCGAGTGGGGATTTACTCAAAGCAAAGGTTTTTTTTTAAGATTACAAGATTCTATTAAGAAGTGGGCAAAGCATCAAAGAAAAAAATAATCAAAGAAGGAGATATGAATGTAGAAAGTCTATTCCTCAATCAGTGAGGTATGCCCATGGCCAAGTCTGCAGCACTTTTAGCATTCTTGCTTTGCAGAGAAGGTCAGCATTTGGCCAGATCATCACAGTTTTTGTAAGTAGCCAGTGAATGCTCAGTGGCCAAATCTACTAACTGAAAGACATCATCCCACTACAAGATCATATCTTCCCAATTAATTCTGACTTTGAAATATACTCAACAAAATAGTTTTTAAGAAGCTTTAATACTTAAGGTCTTTCAGGGAAATAGAACAACTGCAACAGAGCAAACCTATTTTCTCAATGATCTTCCCAATGCTACAAGTGGTGGAATAAGTTCCAGGAGGGGGCAGAATTCAATTGGGAAATCTCTCCAGTTGGCCAATTAGGGGGGTCCAAAGCTCCTTCCTATTGGTCAGATGTAATGAGTTTAGTTTAGGCGCATGAGAGCGTTATATAACCCATTCCAGATATTCATCAATCATTTTCTTACACATCAATCATTCCTGACAGGTCATCAATCAGTTTGGCAGGCATCAAAAAGCCACTCACATTGTAATATATAAGAAACTGTAATCCAAGTTCTTTGCATTGATGTTATTATTATTTCATTTATATTCTGCCTTTGTTGTTGTTGTTCATTCGTTCAGTCGTCTCCGACTCTTCGTGACCTCATGGACCAGCCCACGCCAGAGCTCCCTGTCGGCCGTTACCACCCCCAGCTCCCTCAAGGTCAGTCCAGTCACTTCAAGGATGCCATCCATCCATCTTGCCCTTGGTCGGCCCCTCTTCCTTTTGCCTTCCACTTTCCCCAGCATAATTGTCTTCTCTGCCTTTACCTCAAATCAAATTCAAATGAAATCATACAAAAGAGGAACATTAAAAACATACAAAATGCAATGAGATGTAACCACAATGTTAAAATGCACCTAAGTTATCCAAGACTGAAAACAATTTAAGGCAAACACCTCATAAAGACAAAAGCTAAAAGTCAGGAAAATTGGACTTTATTACTAGCCCTTTTTCTTAAAAGTCCATAGGAAAGGCATGTGAGACAGTGACTAATCAACATTTGGAGCGCTAAAAGTTCCTCAACAGGCAAATACCTGTCTAATTATAAACTATCCATATGTTAGCCAACTATCAGGGGTGTTTTGAACGCGATTTCCCTGCTTCTTGGCAGAGGGGTTGGACTGGATGGCTTGTCTCTTTCAACTCTATAATTCTAGGTCCTATGTCTTATTTAGATTAGAAGCCTGAGAGAAGAGAACTGTCCAACTAGTGATTTGTAGGCCTCCCAGGAAGACCAAGGAGTGGTGATGGTTGTGAATTGTTTCTGTTGTGTGTCTTAAAATAATTTCCAACCAATTGAGACCAAAATGCAAACCTATTACTGTTTTTAATTTGTTTAGAAGCTTCCTCTGAGGTCACCCAGAGCGTTTGCCTGAGGGAGCATGGATTTGAACCTTGGTCTCCAATGCCATAGTCCAATGCTGAAAGCACTGCATTACACTGGGCTAAATACTTGGAAAGCCCCAAGATTTGGGGAAACCGTGAAGCCTTTCTGCTAAGCATCAAAAGAAGCCTTCAAAGAAAGCACTTTCATTGTCAGCAGAAGATATACACGGGGAAGTGGGTGGAACTGAAACTAGGTCTTATTTCTGAGAAAAGGATTGGCTGTATGCCTTCTGCTTCCTTGCAAGGCCAATGTGTGTGTGTGTGTTCAAGCCACCTGTCGACTTGTGACAATCCAACAAA